GCTGTTGAAGTTCTTCTTCAATAGCTTTAAGCGATGTGTCTCACTCTAGCCGCCAATCCCTGGACTAAATTCCGTTTGATGTTAAGGGGGACAAAACTGTGGAAATTAAAATAGTCCCGTCCAGGTTTTCTTTCGGAACACCCTGCACTGGATAGACCCATCCTCTTGCCTGTGCAGATGGACATTGAGAAAGGCAAGCTCGTTATCTGCCTCGGTCTCTGCAGTGAACTTTAGCGAGGGGTGCGCGCTGTTGAACTTTTGGACAAGCTCCTCGATATCGGTGATACCATCCGCCAGGCAGAGGATATCGTCCACGTACCGACCGTAGAAGACGAGGCCACTAATGGTCTCTTGCAAGCTTGTTTTCTCGACTTTGCCCATAAAAAGATTTGCAAGGAACGGTCCAAGCGGTGATCCCATTGCCACACCATCTACCTGCCTGTATAATTGACCATTGCACAGAAATTGGACATTTTGTGTGCAAAGCGTCAGTAGTTCTTTTAGCGTTGAGGCATCTATAAACACTGTTGATTTGGTACATTTTCATTCCTTCATGCAATTCTTTGGCCTGAGGAAGAATTACCGAAAACGCGTGTTCGCCAACTTGACTTTTCCATATGTATTATGCAAAATCTGCCAAAACATCTATGAATTACGTGAACCTGGTAGTCATCTTGTGGATTCTAGATGAATTACTTCGGAAATCCTGCTTGGGCAGTCAACTTACTGTATCAGATTTGGTGGATTCCAGACGATGCAGTAGGTTAGGCGGGTAACTTTACCCAAATGTGATTAAACTCGCGTCGTCCAGCGGGGCCTCGTAGCTCAGGTGGTTAGAGCCTTGGCTGTACTAAAGCCTTTCCCTTACTGCGTGGGTTCGAATCTCACCGAGGCGCCGAGTTTTTCACAGTTGGGTCAATATGAATTATTCAAAATCTGCCAAACCGTCTATTAATTACGTGAGACTGGTAGTCATCTGGTGGATTCTAGATGAATTACTTAGGAAATCCTGCTTGGGCAGTCAACTTACTGTATCAAAATTTGGTGGATTCCAGACGTTTCAGTAGGTTGGGCGGACAACTTGACCCAACTGTGGTGAAACTCGCGTCGTCCGACGGGGCCTCGTAGCTCAAGTGGTTAGAGCGTTGGCTGTAATAAAGCCTTCCCCTTACTGCGTGGGTTCGAATCCCACCGAGGCACCGAGTTTTTCACAGTTGGGTCAATATGAATTATTCAAAATCTGCCAAAACATCTATGAATTACGTGAGCCTGGTAGTCATCTGGTGGATTCTAGGTGAATTACTTAGGCAATCCTGCTTGGGCAGTCAACTTACTTTATCAGATTTGGTGGATTCCAGGCGTTGCAGTAGGTTAGGCGGGCAACTTGACCCAAATGTGATTAAAGTCACGTCTTCCGGTGGGGCCTCGTAGCTCAAGTGTTTAGAGCGTTGGCTGTACTAAAGCCTTCCCCTTACTGCGTGGGTTCGAATCCCACCGAGGCGCCGAGTTTTCCACAGTTGGATCGATATGAATGAAAACCTGGTGTTGTTTAGAGTCAGGTCGTGTGTGGCACGCGTAGACAGGCTGTCTATCAGCCACCGCGCCCATTCCCCGCACCCGTCAACTGACCGGCTCGGGCAGTGGACTGGTGTCTGTGGGAGAGAGAAAATGAAGTGAGGTCGACGACGCAGAGCATTTTCCTCACTCTAAACAATTAGACGCGCTTGAGACTGTCATGGTGAGCTAAAAGTCGTAACTTAGAATGTTGCCAACTGACGATTTAATTCGGACCTCCCAATCAGACTATTGTGTATTTGCGTGGAGTGATCGACTGATGGACTGAGTCAGACCGCAATGACTTCTTTTTAACGTGGCCTCTATGGCACTCTATGGAATCTGAGCCGCCCCCCTCCTTGTTGCGTGAAAATTCGATATTTTGTGCGCGGACCGGGCGTGTGCAGCACGCGTAAACGATTGGTTTAGCTGTCAGCTACTGCGCCGATCCCATCTTCGATCTCCTCGACTGTCTTGACATCGGGGGAGGAGGGAGCGCGGTAGATGCAGTGCAAATCTTCTATCAGTATAAACTATTCCACGCATCATCCACCGTCCCTGTGCCCACCCTGGTGGACATCGTCGGAACCGACGATCGAACGGTCATCTAAGCACTTTGCTGCCTATTCCGCAATAACTCACACAAGCTGCAGCCCTAACCGGAAACCGAGGAACGTTCAGTCGAAAACGTTTTGGGGGTAGGATAACGTGGCGTCAACAGCGAATGACCAGAAGCAATTTAAACAGAGAACTGAATAAACTGAATAAAACTCAATAGCGGCAGCGAGAAATGATCAGCCGAGCCTCTGTTGCCAAAAATAGATTAGAAGTGTTGTCGGAAGCCCTGGGTACATTTTCGCTGTGGGTAGAAATCAGGATCAGAATTACATGTCCTGAAATCTAATGAAAGAGCTTAGCCATAGGAACACCCGACTAGAGGCAGCCCAAAAACAAACAAGCAGAAAATTGCACTCCAATTGTACCAGCCGGGGGTAACTCGATTGTNTGGCGAGGCACTGATGAACTTCGGTTCGATGAAGTGCTTATGACCCATCTGGTAGGCCTCAGTGGTGGACCGACTGCGCCAGGTGCGTCTGTGCGCATGTTTGTGTTTCTGGTCTCAGCTGCTGGTGGTCAGGGTTATGATTGGCTGAATGAAGGCAGAATAAGCCCGAAACAGTGCTGTATCAATCTACCCGCATTCTCTGTCGTCCCTCCTCGCTGCTATTATGACTTGGCCGACTTCGGCCTGGTAATTGGTTGCCTGTTCGTGACCTTTGCCACACATACGGAGCTTGTTTGCTTTGTGAAGCCAATAGATCGGTGTGCGCCCATTCCTGATTGATATATATATATATATATATATATATATATATATATGGGCGGTATGTTACTACCGACAAAGACAAGGGAGGCTGGAATGGACATTTCTGGCTTATTAAGCGTCGTCAGCCAGTCATACCCAACCACGAAGTGTGCAACACTTGGGGCTCGAACTCGCGACCTGTTAGTTAGAAGTCGAACACTTCTAACCACTGGGCCACGGGCCAGTGTTTACAGATGGCGAATTACCGACAAAGACAATGAGGACTGGGATAACCATTCATTGCTTATTAACTTTTATCAACCAGTCTTATCCAAAATCCCAGGTTTGCAGGGCCTGACCATTGAGTACGCGTTCTTCGGCCGTCGAGCACTATCAAGTGCGACGCCCTACCATTGAGCCACAGGCCCGTTTTCCTGTCGTTTGCGGTCGGATATATTATCCTATAATGTGCTCAGTTGTGCATGGGTGGGACAAAGATCTCGGTTTCAAATCCAAGGTGTCTCAAACCTGAGGTTGGACACCGCCGGCTGATGACGCCAGAAATGGCCAATCTCAGTCTCCCTTTTTCTTTGCGGGAACTCCCTTCAGCATATACATTTGCATGTGACGGAGCGGTACGCCGACCACCACCATCACATCAACTTCGCCATTACTGTTAGGGAGACATCATGTGAAACTCTAGCAGGTACACCCTCAACAGGTATGACCGCAGCCAGTAAGTAAAAGTAGAACTGCGGATTGAAAAGGCAACAAGAAGGTAGGCTAGTACTTCAAGAATGCAATAGCAACACTGACCGCAGTCGAGCGGTATGTTGAACATCATTTAGTTGTGTGTAATGGGGAGCCCTAAGTCTTGTTGCAATGTGAACCGTTTTGCTCTGCTGTTTCAAAACAGTCATTTTTCTCTAAATTCTAAATCCCCTCCCCGCCATTTTCTGTTTCAAGTGTTTGGAAAGTAACTCAGTTGACGAAGGCTATGGAAGGCCCTTATTCAATCAACATAAGCGTGCGCTGGCACGCCTCAACCCTCCACACCGAACACTCCACCATGAGCTGCGCCGGACAAAGACGACGGCTGGACTGGCTCACGGCACGCGTTTGTCGGGCCACGCCGACTCCATTACAACTGCCGCGCATGCGTCAGGCCTGCCTTGGATGTAGGTCTTCACGCTACTGCGCCCAACCCCATCACCAGCTGGTTGACAGGCTCGAACAGTCAACCGATGCATCAGAGAAGGAGAAAGGTATGAGGAGAGCCCCCCACCCCCCTACAGCACATCAGTCCGTACCCCACTCTGGCAAATCTGATGCGTTGGTATATATCACGGCGCACTAGGAGTCGTGATGGAATAACCCGATCCTTCTCCAGACTATGAGGGTGGAATGGCTTCTTTTCAGTGTAGCCTCTATGAAACTCGCATGCATGTCAGATCCGAGCCCTGCTGGCAGCAGACTCGAGCATGCGGCGGGGTCGGGTCGTGTGTAGCACGCGCAGACGGGCCGCTTGACTATATCAGCCATTGCGTCAGCGCCCCCCCCCCTCCCAGTCGTCTTAACATTATCTTGCCATGGGGGCCAGATAGGTGAGGGAGGAGGAAGTGCGATAGATGTTGCGCAAGTCTGCTTCACACCGGTGATTCACTCACTCCGTGGCGCGCATGGCAGACGTCATCGCTTGGGACAGACGAACCGCCAGTGGATTCACGTCAATGTCGACATACGAGGGCTTCTACGCATTCATACATGAAGTGAAGCTCTCGGATCTGCACAACACGGCTTAAGGGACCACACGAATGAGACTGGGGCTAGATGTATTTGTATGGAATTAAGTACAGCGCAAAATAGCTTTAAACTGCTAAATATTACTCAAAACCTGGACCCAAGTAGAAAAAAACAATAAAGGCACGAATCTTGCAACTTATCCATCCATACGTAGGCATCACAAAAGTTACTTTAAAAAGACTAGGCATTTTAAAATAAATAAGGGTCGTTCTGTACAGATCACATACATAAGGGGCGGCGCAGACATCGCAAACTTCTGATGGCCTTGAAGTTGGTGGCGGTGCAGGCACGCACACACAACGTACACACAAAACTTCAGCAAGCAGAACGGCAACCGCTACCTCAAATGCGGCGGTACGGCTCTGCCAACCGAACGTCCAAAGGAGTCTTGAGGGGAATTATGCGCAGTAGCAACAAGATCGCCCGGGGCACTGATGCTGATTCCAGGCAGTGGCATAATAGTCCTTGTAGTAGTAGTTGTTGTTGTTCGAAGCGAAGGTTTGGAGATCTCGTGTTTCGCAGTTTCCGCAAGCGAGTTAGCTCGTGTCGAAGCACCGGGCACAGTCCCACTCCGGCCTGACTGCTCGTTTGAAGTATTCGAATCAACTACTGGGTTCTGACGACTGCCTGAGAGTCGTGAGAAGAGGTCGAAAACTAGGGATACATCCTGGTGGAAATAACTTTTGTAGGTGTGTTCAGAGAATGTGGCTCCACGTTTTGACAGCCGCGAAGTCTGTGGATGCCGTGTCTCCGGGTGCTCAGTGGCAGCATCGCCACGATCTCGCACTGAATTCGGTTTCGATCGGGGAGAGTCGCAAGGCTTAGTGGGCCTTTTCTGACCGAAATCAACCTTCACGAGCTGACATTTGACCTGTGTCACATCAGAAGTGGGGGCGCGAGAATTTGCCAATTTTCTAGATGAATTCACGACAGAAATATCGGAGCACGGAACCGTCTGAGCATCCGGGCCCAAAAAAAGCCCCGACTCCGTGCAGACTTCCGTGGCAATTTGCTTTTCGAGTTCCGTAACTGGAGTACCGTCGATGCACTCAATAGAAGGCAGTCGGACACAAAGGATGATTCTGTGCATATTTTTTTTCGTTACCGGATTATCAAGCATGTAAACTTGCTTAAGTGATCCTAGGTGTGTGAAAACCTTATCCAGGTTCTCCAAACTGTCAAGTTTGTTTCGACTCAGAAAAAATCTCTGTAGCTTGCACAAATGGTTTATATGATGAAGTTCCTTTAGCCGATTGCCTTCAATGTGAAGCTCCTGCAAGTTCCAATTCGACGAGAAGGAGGCTTCGGAGAACCGCCGGATACGATTGTCATCGAGAACCAGGTCCCTTAATTCTACTAGTCCGTCCAGATTTTCGACTGTTGTCAACTCATTACTCTGTAGGAAAAGTGTACGAATGGATGGCATTCGGTGAAGTTGTAAGGACCGAAGAGATCGAATCCCATTCTTGGCCAGATAGAGAACCTTCAACTTAGGCAAGATACAGGTCGAACTGCGACGGAGTTTTTCAAATTCGTCAGATTCCCCCGAAGATGTACCATAGCGTGGGAAAAGACTGTCAATTTTGTTACGACTCAAGCACAGAACTTGAACACCCTTTAAAAATAGTAACCCCGAAAAGGAAGTTAGGTTATTGCCGTCCAAGTTGATGGTGTGCAATTTCGAAAACACTGCAGGAGGATTCAGCTCAACGATGCGAAGACTCCGATTCTCAAAATCGATGTATGTAATCTTTGAAAAATTGTCATGTTCAAAAGACTCGATGAGATATTCTGGAGTCAACTTCCCTTCCAGCAGATCTCGCGCTTGAGTGACCTCACATGGTTGAACTACAGTTCCATCAAGAACTATAAGCGATGGCAAATTAAAAATAATACGCGACCTATAATTAGCTAAAGAAGTTGCGATTGGATTAAAGGAAAGGTCCAAAACCGCTAAATCAGGAATGTCTCGCAAAAGTAACAAAGGCCGAAACAGGCTGATATTGTTATGTGAAAGATAAAGATGTTTCAGAGAAGTACACCGATCAATGCCATCGACGCACCGCAGCTGATTGTCATCCAAAGCGAGAATTTCCAACCTCTTAAGAAAATTAAAACCACAGCCTGTTAGCGTAGAGATGAAATTGCCGCTGGCAAGAAGGCTCCGCAGACCGTAAAGATGATGAACGCCAACCAAAGAGGTAAGACAGTTGTTTTCGATAGACAATTCTTCCAAATTGGTCAGATTAGAAAGGAACGATAAGTCAGACAAGTACGAATTATTTAAGGATAAACAAACCAAACGAGCGAAAGAAGATTCAGCAAACGAGATAGAGGTATAAATTCGGTTATCCAGGTATTTTATGCGTGAAATTACCGCTTTCGTAGGTAAGCAATCAGAATAGTTCCGGTAGCGCGAGGGGAAAAAGTTAACTGGCCATAAACTAAGAGAGTAGTCAGTGGAATCAGAGAAAACTTCTGTAGACCTGAACGTATCGGATGAAAGACCTGGGGTCCGAGCGACCGTTTTAAGAGGGGTTTCGTCGAGGAATTTCAACTTCGGGAGAAGTGACTGTACTCGAGAGTGAAGTGACGAGTCGCGGGTCCATGGATTAAACTCCAATTTCAGTGTGACTAAACTCTTGACATGTTTCGAGATGTGTTTCAACTCCTTTTCCAGGACAGAAAATTTGTTCCAGTTAATATCAAGCGTAAGGAGCGATGGCAGATCCTTCATATTAGCTAATGATGAAATTTTGTTATGGCTAACATCGAGATGCCGTAGATTTAATCCATTGACAGCGTCAAGACTGCTGAGTCCGCAGTTCGAAAGCACAAGAGAATACAGAGACTGAAGAGAGCTTAACTGAGCCAAAAACGGTACACGAGTTCCATGGAAATTGATTTCCGTTATGTCGAAACGTGATCTAGGAAGAGATTTTGCAAACCATGAGTGTTCTAGGGCATCTTCCAACGTCATGTTGGCCAGACTTGGGGGTGTAGGGTGCTCGGGTAAAAGCTGCAGGGCTGAGCGATCATTAGACAACTCCTTTTCAAAAAATTTATCAATATCCTCGAAACTCAACGTCGGGGTAGAGGCTGCTAAATCTCCAGCAAAGTGAAATAATGAATGTGTCCTTCGAATAAATTCTATCTCGATGATGAATTCTGGATAAAGAGCAAACTCACTATCCAACTCATACTTCGAGTGACTTTGACGACACGCACAGGAAGGTTCTTTCGTTGATAGGTTCACGTCTGTGTTCGGTACGCCATCAGGAATGAACACTTCAGTTGAAGATTCGGGCCAAAAGGAGTCAGATCTGCAACGAACTATAAGACCCCGAAAGAATCTTACACCGCTGCCTGCTTCAAAATCATTTTCAGTAGAAACTTCGGAACAGTTTGTAATTGCGCTGTTCAGGAGAGATGTCAAAATAATTTTGCTCGAATCGTCGCTCGCAGAGAATCCAGATCGGACAAAAGTTGCCAACTTGCACAGTGACAAGGCGGAGGAAAATTCACCACAGTAGAACAGTAAGTCATCTTCAGAGTCATACTCATCCTCGTTAAGTTGAGTGAAACCTGTGTGCTCCAGGAGAACCGTATTGCATACACGGTAAATGCTTTTGAGACGAAGGCCGGAAAAGTGGCGAAACGAAGGATCGTGCAGACAAAACCGAGAAAGGCAGAATTTCTCACACATCTTAAACCAAGGGTCAGATGGACAACCCTCCACAAAAGTCAGACCACCGACCATTTGCAATTCACAGGCCAGGAGACAACGACGCAACAGACGATGGGCGCGCAGTTCCGAAATGTACTGGGAAAATTCGAGGTTAATTGTAGTCAGTTGGCGCTTCCAGCTGTGTATACGAGACTTTAGAAGCTCCACTTTCTTGTCAAAAGCCTCTCGATCAAACTCTGGACTATTGCTCAGAAAATCGGAAGCAGCTTTAAGTGATCTCAGCTCATTATCAAGATTCCGAATGCTGCTTGTGACGGGGGTCAGCAGAGCCCGTCTAACGTCCCGCAGATTAGATTCAATGTGGATAAGTTTATTAACTTGACAGCGATTGGCGTGGAAATAATAAAGTTTTTTATTAGCAATAACAGAGTCGAGGAAGGCGATTAAGCTTGCACAGCCTGCGTCTAAGCCATCAAACATCTCCAACTTCGGTATTTGGTGGAATACTATTAAGGGGGCGAGATATAGAGATGAGAGCGGACTCGTGTCGTATTCACTGTCATTAAGATTTAGCTTTCGAAGGAGTGGAAGGTTTGAAAGGGTTAGCATATCGTGCAAATCATACCACTTATTTCCGGATAAATATATGTGCGCGAGTTCCGAGTTGTGAATTAGTTCGCGGCCAATCCTCTGGATCCTGTTGCCGGACAAATTTAACTCAGAAAGTTTGCGGAGAGATCGTAGGTTCGAAATTTGTGATATGTGGTTGTCATTTAGCCACAAACGACGTAATGAGGTCGAGTCCTGAAGGCCCTCAATTTTTTCTATACTGTTATCGAAAAGAAAAAGTTCCCTGAGTTTCTTACAGCCTTCTAAGTCCTTCATTGAACGAAGACCACATTCACAAACCCACAAAACTTCCAAATTCCGGCAGTTGCACAAATGAGTGAGCTCGGAGATAGACTGGCCTATTATAATCAACTCTTTAAGATTAACGAAGTGCTGCATGGTCAAAAACTGGGTAAACCCGCAGAAAAATAAGTGAATTCGTTTAATTAAGTTGGAGCAATCATCTGAGTAAGAAGCAGAGACAGAATTAAGTCGGCAGATTTCACGGAAAACTTCGTTGTCAAACCCGTCCATCTGACAAACATTCGGGCCCAGAGCTTTGGAAGGGCCGCACTAGGCAGGTCGTGTAGGGTATTCGCGAGCCAATTGGACGAGCACTCGCTTGACACTCTAAAAGATCAACTGTGTCATGTTTGGTGAAGACTAACATAGTCTGGTAATCGGTCGGATTCTCTTGATTTCGCGTATAGGCAAAGGAGAGTTCATTGTTGTCTGCTTGGTAAGTAGCACCAATTTAAAAGCTGTGAGATTGTGAAAATGAGGTTTTGACTCAGTTGCATTTTCTGAAGATCTACAAGCATCAAACCGTAAGTTAGTTGCCGGTACATGCTAAACAGGTACCTATGATAGAAAAATGGCACTAAGAGACGGCAGCACTATAGTTGGAGAATGTGGCAGAATGGGCGGGAAAATACGCCGAAGAGCCGGAGACGCATAAAGTTAGTCACTTTCAATCGAAGCATAAAGTTTAACTGACAATATTGATGTCCGTATGCAAGAGTGAGAAATGGCAGCAGTCAAATCCGCAACATAGCAACGTGGCGGGATCAGCCGATGGGACATTTTAGAAGTATGAAAACGAAGTGGATGGATAACAGAAGGAGGGGACTCAAACATGTAAAACCACTTATCATTTAGACGATCTGCAAGACAACGTCAGGTAGTATCATGCCCTCTTGCAGGGAAGGACATTAAGTCAGATTAAGTCAGTTTATTAATGGAGTGAGGCGTTTGTCCTTGGGCTCCCTATTCATATCGGTAAACAGAAACAGAATCAATAATTGCATTAGCAATTGCGGAAATTCAAAAGTTAGCGGTAAGTGGGGGCAGGCGCAATCTGCCGCCGCTAAAACAATCGTGATTATATTTAAGGTCGTTTCTCAAAAATTGAGCATCTAGTCCACACTTAAAGGATTCGACAGTTTCGGAAAGAACCACCGCATCAGGGAGTTCGTTACATGCCCAAATGACTCTGTGGGAGAAGCCGTTCCGTCGGATGTCCGACTAAGCCAGCTTCCTCTGCAGTTTGAATGGATGACAACGCAGACGATAAATCCCGACCAATTCGAAGAATTTATTAAAGTCTAGGGCGAACTCACGGCGTCTGACAATCCTGTAGGTTTGAATGAGATCGCCGCGCAGTTGTCTGTAATTGAGAGGAAACAGATTCACTTCGGTCAGCCTGGTTTCGTAAGACAGATGATGAATATTCTTGCCCATCTTCGTAGTCATCGCCTGTACTCTTTCCAGTCGCTGATAATCTTTCTTCAACCACGGTCTCCAGGCCTGGACTGCATACTCTAAGTGAGATCGGACGAATGCCCCATAGGTTTTTTCGAATAGCTGTTTATCGATCTGCAAAAATCCTCTCCTCAGCGCTAAGAACACCCTTATCGCACTTTTGGTTGTGCTTTGAGACTGTAGTGATGGTTTCAGCGAGGCGGTCATTAGGACACCGAGGTCTTTCTGTTCCACAAAAGTTGAGAGGGACTGACCACCAAGGACGTATTAAAAGGAATCGTCCTCTTTGCTGGTCTTTTTGGTGCGGAGTCTCAGGACCACACATTTATCCACATTAAAATTAAGGAGCCAACGAGCTGACCAACTGTTCAGGCGGTTGAGACTGTCTTGAAGCGCTTACGTGTCTGCGTCAGAGCTGATGGTTCTCAACAGTTTTACATCGTCAGTAAACATGATGGTGCTGCATCCCAGGTCGTCGACGCAGTCGTTAATGTAAACCAGGAATAACAGCTGCTCTAAGACGGAGCCCTGGGGTACACCCCTTAGAACGGGGGTAGGAGTTGACCGTGAGGCCTCACGCACACGGTTCGTGATCTCCCTGTAGGAAAATCGATTATCCATGTCAGCTAACTTCCTCTTATCCCAATTCCAGAAAGTTTGTAGACTGGGCGTTTGTGTGGGACGCTGTCGAACGCCTTCTTTTCTGCAAGGTCCAGGAAGTTGTATTAATATCCGTGCATGGTTTGGTTGTAAGTACTGCTTCAGTTTGTTGCTTTTTAATTTCCTCAGAAATTAACTGCGAAATTGTAGTAGATCAGCATATTCCAGGTCTATAGGCTCAGACTGATATTTTCATGTATGAAAATTTGGGCCGAATTCCATCAGTCACAGCGATTTGTCGAGTGTGGGGGTCGACACCAAGTTTTTCAAATTAAAATCGGGGAGTAGGCACATACAAGTAAGTCTTAAATGATGCGGGGAGTATGAAGTAGAAAGATCTTCAATGACAGAAACTGTCTACTCACACTGAAAGCCAGTGTTAACTGGCGTGCATATCAGTTCCTGACGTGACTGGACATCCAACTCACGTTCGCTATATAGAATCAAACGACATAAATCAAGTTATCGATTATTGTCATGCTCTCCTTAAACGCGTGTCTGGTATACCGACTATCGTGCATCGTAATCCCAAGATATCTCCGTTACACCGGGATGCAAACTTTCGAATGTACGTCGTTTTGGCCTCCAACAAAAAGCACTTTCGATAAAAAGGAGCGATTATCTGACTTCTGAGAATATTCCCATGTTACAATCGAAAAGTCATTTGGGCAAACACGCGTCTTCGGTAACTCGGCATCAGGCCAAAACAGTTACATAAAAGTTGAAAATATGCGAAGTTCACGGGGTTTATTTGTAACTGAGGGGCTAGTAACATCCATCGTTCCCACGCCACCCGCGTGACGCGGTCGGCGTTTTATGGTCATTGGGTCAAGGGGGTGAGGGGGAAGGGTGACATAGGCTGTGAGTAATGTTTCTAAGTCGGGTACGGTTGCGACGTATCCGCTTTCCCGAGACTGGTGAGGTAGAACTCCAGCAGCTGTGGGATATACTTCACGAGAACAGATACCCAGAAAGATTTATTCTCCTAACTGAAGGGCAGCGCACTGCAAAGTCCACCATGGCAACTGCAGAAAAGAAGGACTTATTTATAAGACTACCTTTTCAAGGGGACGCCACAAGTGACCTAGTAAGAAGACGTCTGAAGACAGCGACCACTAGTGGTTTCCCCGCGGCGAATTTACGTGTACGTTTCAAGGACTCTCCCCTCCAACGCTTGAGAGTTAGGGACCGATTCCCGTTGTAGGCCACATCGATGTGTATTTACTCATTCACTTGCTCCTGTGAAGCGGGATTCATTGGACGTATAACGAGGCGTCTGGAAAGGAGAGTACGTGAAAACATACCGGCCTAGCTAGGCAGAGGCGAAAAGAAATCCATTTCCACTTCTATTCTCGCACATCTTGTCGATATGAATCACCGAGTCGATGCCAAAGAAGCTTTTCAGGTTGTCTACCGGACACCAGTAAGCTTCTCCAGAGGCCTACGCCAACGGGTGCTAGCCACAGCCGAGGCAGTGGCTCTACCACTAGCCAATCCAGTGCTTTGTTGTCAGAAGACGTTGACAGAAGCGCATCGTCTTCTGTGGCCAACGTCGACCCCAGATGATGAGTGCACGTTGCCCTCACCTCCTGATGGCAGTAATGGGTGCCCAACGTACCCGACTTACAAAATTTACTCACAGCCTACGTCACACTTCCCCCTCGCCCCCTTGGCCCAATGACCATAAAACGCCGACCGCGCCATGCTGGTGGCGTGGGAACGATGAATGTTACTAGCCCCTCAGTCACTTATAAACCCCCTGAACTTTGCATATTTTCAACTTTTATGTTACTGTTTTGGCCTGATGACGAGTAACCGAAGACACGTGTTTGCGAAATTGACTTCCAATTGTAACTTGTAATAATTGTATATACGTTTTAGTGTGCATGCTGTGTCAAAATTGTGAAATTCTCAAAACTCACCACTGAAACGGCCCAAGTGGCGTTGCACGAAGCCATCTAGAGGGGTGTTTAACGTAAAGGTAAAAAATTGCCCAACTGAAATATAGGAAGTAGCAAGTTCTATAACGTATGCTTTCAGGAAGGATGATAAAAGGTGGAATTTGTTAGGTCCTGATGGTGTGGGGGTACATATCCCTATGCTGGCCAAGCTTCCTCCTAAATGCGCTCAACACATGAGTACATGACCACGTCCAGAAGCAGAGCATTCCATGCCTTAATCACAAGTGCCTGAAGAAGAATTTCCTTGCGCGCACCCTTGCCAAAATCACGCGTATTTTGAGAAGATATCCTCTCAAGCTAGTAGTGGTGGCCAGCTCAAAGAAGCCGCCGGATGCAAGGCAACAATCCTGATCCCGCAGCGCGCGAAACCCTTGAATTAATTCGCCACGTAGCTATCCGTAGTCAAGGAGAAAGGGCTTAAGATAGGAAAGTCGAGTTTCGTAAGGTAGGTTGTTTTAACCTCTTACAAGCTTGGTTTCCCGTCGTTGG